TCTTTCTCCTCCCACTTCCTCTTCTCTTCCTCCTCCTCCTTCGCCTCCTCCTCCTCCTCCTCTTTCTCCTTCAGAACGGTCACCTCCGGAATGGATCGATTTTTCTGGGTCACATCTGCAGTCTATGCGACTCTCCTCCATTTAAAGGAATCTGACGAATACTCGAAACCGTTTCTCCTACTAACAGACAGCAGATTGAGTTTACTGCCACTATTGTATTGACTAAAACCATATTTTGAAGTGTAATTTAGTCAAACTTACCTATTCCTTGAAGCAGAAAAAGAAAAAGAAAAAGTTTATGCATATTATTAATCTTGCTGTCCGTTCATTCTCCGCGACCAATTGTGTCTCTCCTTTGTCTGTCATTTTTCCGTCTTCCCTCTCCTCTAAGTGAAACTAAAAGTTGGGGGATAAGTGTGAGCGTGAGAGGGCGAACGAGGGGAATTCTTTTTTTCCACCTCTCCCTCTCCTCTCCCTCCCACCTTACCTACACAATGTCACAATGCCACCTCAAAGTTGGTAAGTAAATTGAAATTACGCACTTTTCATTTATCTCACTCTTGCAAATATTAATTCTTAAATTTGGACTTGCAGTTTGGAAGGCGCGTCTGTCATTTCTTTTTTTTTTTTTAAATTAAGCATTAATGATGCATCCATGCACAACTTTACTGATGCATAATTGAAGGAAAAATCGTGAAAATTTGGCTCCATTTTATCGTTTGTTTGGTGTCTGGCTTGAGCAAATCGTTGGTGAAATTTTTTAAATATCCCCTTTGTGGTGGAGATGAGGAGGTGCCGAAATTTTGCTGCCTGCTTGACACCTCCTTTGGTGCCTGATCAGCCCTTTTTGTAGGTCAAGCATTTCATCCCCCTTTTGGCCACAACGACGGGTGGTCGTGCCATTTCAAAGTCCAGTTGACAAAATAAGTAGTAAAAGGGAAAGTCCTGAAACCTGCTCCAGCATATCACAGTTGACAGTTCCACTTCTTGTTGCACAGGAGCTGCCGTTATTGCGGCGTGCGGAAACACAGAGGCGGTGCAAATGAACCTGTAAAAAGGTGAAATTCTACCTCCTTTAAAACACATTTGTCTTGCCTAACAATTCCTTGCATTCTAAGGCAGTTTAGTTATGAGGCAAATTGTAGGCGTTGCGTCGATTTCGGGGATGCTGGAAACTTCTTTGTGACTAACAGCATCAACCCTCCACTTTCACAACTGTTTCGTGGCTTTAATGAAGACTAATGGCATTTCCTTTTCCACTTTCATTAATTTACTTTCAACTGTTGGATGAGATTGCAATTGGTGGAAGTCTAATGCACATCTGTCGTTAGTACTGGCGTTTCTGTCATCCAACACTGCGGCAGTACGACTTTAGAAGGGGCTTGGGAGGCTCAAGTGGTGGCTTTAATTGACGATACTTTTGAGTAAAGTGTTAACGCTCGGAAGTTACACCGGTTTCGGCCTACAGAGACGATTTAATCAAGGGAATGGGCACTGCCACCTCAAATGGACACTGGTGGGGGAATAGGCTCGAGGTCCAAGGTTGGTGTCTAAATTTTTCAGTCTGACTACAAACCTTCACAGCATCATTGCCTTCCCATCCTCCTGGTTGCTTGTTACTGGCGTCTTTGTTTCCTCCGCATAACTAATCAGCAGTCGACAATGCATCCTCCACCTGCTTGTGATCACAGGCCGTACGTATAACTGTTACCCCTAATGATACTACTTATTGGGTATAAAATAGTAGTAGTAGTTGCAGTTATGTAAAATTATTTTATCATTATCAAAGTTAACTAGTGACCACCTTGTCTTCACTGCCATCTTCGTGTTGGAGTTTTGGCATTTTACAATAAAGTGGAGACTTTAACGGCCAAAGAGACTTCACCAACTTGACAACAGTGAGTCATCGAATGATTCCGAATTGTCGCCCTTATTGTGCATAAAATAAAAAGAAAATACATTTCACAAACAACATACTTCCAAGTCGTGTGGAAAGGGATATGAAAAGGTATTGGTTGGTGAGATTAAATTTTCTCACTTTTAAGGAAGAAAGGAAACACTTCCACCTCGAGTAGTACGTAGTGCAACTCGCTGAAGTGCAAGCAGGCAAAATGGCACCTACTGCAGTCATTGACAGGCAGTAGAAGTACAAATCTGTTCTCCTGTTTACCTCCAGACTTCTCTCTTGTACTCTCCCCTCCATCGGTGTTTCTCTTCACCAGCAAAAATTACTCAACAGAAAAGGTGGATGTCCCTCCAATCAAAGCCTCAGTCGTCCACATTGGCTGCAATCGAGAAGACCCTTGGCGACTTGGATTAAAATAACAAAAAAAAAGAAGGCATTAAAAGGAAGGCGCACCTACTTAATGCAGCAGTAGAGACATTATTTCCATAAAATAGGACACAGTGATTCTCCACTCCTCCTCTCCTTCTCGCCATTCCTCACTCCTTTCCACAATTCGGGTTGTGCTAACACCGTAGAAGCCATCCTGCCCCACGGAGGCATCGAATGGACCTCTCAAGGGACAGTGACACCACCAAAGGGTGCTCCTATCACCTTTACTACACAGGAGGTGGTTTGATTGCAAAGGTACTGTCTTATTCTTGACCACCACTTTGTGAAAACTACCTTTGTGAAGACATTTTTTTTGTGGCTAAAGCATAGCACAGTCTTGCAATGTGATTTGAAAATTTAAAGGCAATTTTATCTTTAGTACATGTTAATTGTGGAGTAGGGAATTCCTTCATGAAGTTTGTCACACTCACGCACTTTCTCTTAATTATGTCCTTTTTAATGCTTCAATTGCAATCTTTTTGTCCTCCTTGACACACCTTCAACATTATTGTGTGCTCGTAAAATTTCCATTCCCGTGCAAAAAAAGGGGAAGCAAATGATGATGATCTGTGGAGGTAAAAGTGCAATCTCCCCCAGTTCCAGAGGATCATGCAATCCTTCCGATTCGTGGAATCCACTCTTCTTGTCTGTGGTGTTAGGGGAGGCGCGAAAATACTGCCTCCTCCTCCTCCACCCACCGAGGAAATGGACATTTGCAATGCAGATGTATTGAGTGGACGCGTTGTCTTGGTGTCAGTTTTGTGACAAAGGTATGCCTCTCTTCAATCGTCACTTCATCCTCCATGTCAGCTAGTCACACTCCACTCTTCCTTCTCCTTCTCCTTCTCCTCTTTCTCATTCTCTTGGCCACGATTGGAGGTTGTATTGGTGAGTATCACTGAATTGGGCTTTCTTTTTTTGTTTTCCTTTTTTTTTTTAATACTCCCTCCTTTTTCCCTCTCCTCTTAGTGTTGTTTGAATTTGGATGTGTAATTGTTTTGCTTTGATTGAGGAGTACTTTTTTTGTGTAATGAACATTCCAACCGATCGCAATCATTTTCATTCTCATCCACCTCATTGTTTGTGGTCTTACAACTACTCTATTCAAATAGGAATTCTATTTTGAAGTGAAAAGCTTGTGTTTGCTAGTCTTTTTTCTCTTTCTCTCTCTCTTCTCTCCTCATTTCACTCACCTTTGAGTTTTTTTGTGTTTAGCTAAGATTGAAA